GTCACCATTCTCCAGAATCAAAAAAGTCTCCTCAAATCCTTTTGAACTTCTCATTTACTGACTGAGGATTGCAGAAGATACTTGCATGTAAACTCTAAAATTTGTGTGAAAAACTCTCCTGCGGACTCCTGCAGCCTTGACCACACATTCATTCTGTGCAGAAATTCTAGAACCCACTAATATAAGATCAATGAATGATACAAATCCATTACCTTGAATTTATGTAGGATCATCAGCTTAACTAAACATACCTAGCCTATTTACACACGGTAACGACATTTGTGACAGATTACCAGCTAGGACAACTCTCATATTCTCTGCGTTTCGTCCATTACCTTTCGCTCATGGTGTCATTACTGGACGTACTGTTCCACGGCGGCACTTGAGCAGGCGTTGGCAAACACTTACGGATGCCGCTCTGGAGGCTCTTGAATCTTCCATTAGTATCCTTATGAATCCGGATTAGATGCCGGGATGATGGGCGAAGTGGATTTGTGAGATGGGGAGAGCTTCATTAATCGCGCTTTATCATTGGTTATGTTACAAATGCTGGAGTCTTCAAGACTACTAGCGCATATCCTCTCATTTCACTTCCACACAAAAAGAAATGAGCAAGTTTGTACACAAAGGAGTTTTGGAAAAATTTCATCCTGTAGACAAACTGACTGACTTTGCAAAACCACCGAAAATCAAAATTTGAGTTGCTTGTGTAAAAAATCTCTTCTGGAAAAGCTTTACTCTAACTTCAGCGGCTAATCGAGAGTACGCTACCCATTTTGAAAATTGAGTTGCATTTTCGAATGCGATTTGGGTTGAAAATATAACTAGTTTTCAGCTTCGAAGTAAGCAAAATATCCGAAATATCAAAAGATATCTAAATATATCCAATACATCCAAAATATCAATATATTCAGAAATTCAGATTTCGAAAATTTTCAGAACATTTTATACACTAATTTCGCCGCAGTAGACACGTCCTTTCGTGAACCACTTCTCTGGATTTGAGTGTTTGACAAGTCCATAGAATTCCGGAGAACTTTTCAGAAATTTCTGGGAGAGCACTATTAGGCCACGCCCCTGTTAAGGAAAAAACTGTTTCCATCATTCCAAAAACTTTTTAGAACTGCCACTGCCTGTTTCAACTAAATGTACCCAGTCTTCGTAGTCATACTAATCTATTAGGTCGGTCCGAAGGTAATGTCGCTTTTTTCAAATTGGCGCCACATCTCGTGGAAGCAAGATTTCCAAGAGCTCTTGGAAGCATTCGATGCAGCATTTGATCCTCTTTCTGAGTTCGTAATTTCATTGCATAATATTCAATGAGCTCTCGTAAAATTATACAATCTACGACTCATGCTTTTTGCCATGGTAAAATTCGGTTATTTTTCTAGCCAGTGCGTCACCTCCGCTTCGCGGAGGTTCGCACTGGCTCTCCTATCCGTTTGCCTTCTCATGTTCGCATAATGATGACTTTGAAACCCACCATGCGATGCTGAACATCACAAATGAATAGTAAACAACTGTTCATTCTTAAAGTAACTCCACGTAAGATCGGTAATTTTGAGAGAAAGAAACTCGTCGCAAAGGAACACCTGCGAATTTGATTAGATTACCGAATTTGTTTTGGCTTGGTAGTCGTCATAAGGATAATAGTCAGTTTGAGCTAAATTTCCGTGCAAAAATCTTTCCAGCTCTGAAGGCAAAACCTTGCCAAATCAACTGTCTAAGCGATCACCACTTCTTGGCGCTGTTGCAGCAGAAAAGCAAACTTTTTGAGCACTTTTTGGGCTAGAATTCATGAGGCGCAGATGTACGTGTCAGGCCAATCATGACTTCGCAAAAAGTCGAATTAATGACCTAATTTTGCGTGCCAAAAGCCGTGTGGGCCCGTTTGACGGGCAGTTTTTAAAGCTCCCAAATATCGAATCAGCTTGTGCTTTTGCACTTTTTACCTACCTGCTGGTAGGGTGCCATGACCAAAATTTCAGCTCAAGATCTTGCCTATAAAACGCTCTATGAATTTCTTGACAGACAGACATAAACACACACAGACAGACAGACACGCGCTTTATTATTTTTCTAATTTTTTTGTACTGATTCCCCGAAGAAAACCAAGTGCAGATAGAGCAAATCCTAATGGATACGAAACAATTTTTTTTTCTTTTCCTTAGCTCGCCTCCTAGAATTTCTAAAACCAAATTTTTAATGCTATCAAACTCCTATTTGGTCAACTAAAACCTCACAGAACGATAACCCGCGAGTAACTCGGGTGTCATTCGACGCAGCTTTTTCCCGTCTTTTTATTAGTTCTTCTTTGTTTCTGGTGCATAAAGTTTCCCGGGATAAATCATCATAATTCAGATTTTCCAAGCACCCCACCTGTACCTGGAATTTTCGAAAGTTGCTAATTTGAAGCGGCAAATGCTCCTCTGCTTTGTAAAATTAGTATCAAACCATAATCCATCTTTGTAATTTTCAATCCGAAGATTTATTGGTGCTTAGTGCATTTGTGTCTGTGACGAGCCTGCTAAAATTCAGTGGTTCCTATAAAAAATCTATACAAAAATTATGATGAGCTATGGAAAGTAGAAAAAAATGATGCTGTTTCCTGTAGGGTTTCCTCTATTCATTACTTGAACTCCTCCCGAGGGTTGCTAAAAAAATTAGAAAAACTGTGAAACTTGATCTTCTCAAGAAGTATGGGTCGCAGGTTTTGCTAAATTTTCAAAAGCTCATTGACTATTATGCAATGAAATTACAACCATTAGAAAGAGAATGAAATGCTGTATCAAAAGCTACCAAGGTCTCTCACAAATCTTTGTTCCAGAGATGTGGCGTACCTTTGAAAAAGCGACATTTCTTCGCAACGACTTAACACATGAGTTACGAAATTGGTGGTAACTTGTTTCGTATAAAAAATTGAAAAGCTCAAAATGGTCTTCAAAAACTTCCCAATTTGAATTTTGAATTTATAACTGACTCACTCCTGCGGGAACATTTTTTCATGGACTTTTAGGGTTGGAAACTGTCAGAATTTCCGGAAATCTAGTTTTTAGACACGTTCAAGTCACGCCTCCTCATTCGGTAAAAAACAAATTTGCTCAAAAAATTTTCAACCGCCGGTGCTTGCTTCAACCCAGAAATTTTCGAAATGCTGTCCAAGCAACCATAATTGCAGTTTTTAGCATAAGTTCCTGCGAACGTTAGCATAAGTTATGGCAAAAGTTAGAATCCCTCGCCAACTGTAATTAGTGGGGCAACTCGTCCAATGTTTCCCATCTAACCTCATTCTTCCAAAATTCGTAAATATCAGTCGTCAATCATGTTATTATATTATTCTTTACATGTTGTTGTACTATTATATACAAATTGTATTATTACTACATTATTTTATCGTACTAAAAGCAAAAATGGGAACAGCAGGTCCTCTTATATGGTTCTAAACCTCAGAGCGTTCATAAGCTCATTCAGCCGCAAACACATAATCTTAAGGACTCATGTACTCTTACTTAGGTTATATTGAAGGGAATCTCTCCAAAATCAAATACTCGAAGCTCCGAAAGGGTTCATAAAGATACTACTTCCCTTATTGTTCTAGCTGTACTATCTCAGCATATCGTTTCGTCTTTTTCATACTTAATTGTGGTGACACTTATTTGGAATTGTGGTCAAGTTTACTGTTTTTTCTTTCACTGAAATGATTATCAAAAGTACAGTATTTAAGAATGGTATGAGATATTCGCGTTTCAAATGCTGCAGTGATTGCCTAAATGGGAATTCTTTTAGTGAAGCTTACAAAAATTTCAGAACTTCAAGAAAATTTCAAAACTTTTCATCTACAGTTTTTAAGACATACCGGATCTGTCCTCGCTAGTCCAAAACCTATCGTTTGACAAAAGTGGGCAGAGCGGTGGAAACCCTTCATGTTCCTGTTCATTTATAAGGCCATTAAGACTCACATTTAACGCATAAGAGAATGTTAGAGGGAGAAAGAACAAGAAGCAAAAAGCCCAAATCCCAAGAAACCAAAAATCAATCTTGGCGATGCGGGAACTTCAAAATGCTTCGTACGCCTCTTTTCCGTAATAAATCTCTTTACGTTTTCTTCCTTAAAATCTGCTCACTTTTTACTGTCAGAGCTGAGCTGTAAAGCTGCATAAAAGGTGTTCAAAAACTTTTACCTGGATCAGTAGATAAAACTGCTAGCACAAGTCTTCTTTTCTAAATATGCGCGTCTAAGAATTGAAGTAGAAAAGTCACAAAGTCTTCTGTTCTGTTTCTTTTATAAATGCTTTACTTCTCTTGCATCGAAAACTGGACTATCAATCAGGGCAGACTAAATCGTATTTTATCACTAGCACGAAGAAGGAGAGCGACTGACGCATGCAAAGAACTAACCTAAACTAAACAAATTTTGCAAGTTTTGATTTGGGTTCAAAAAAGTGAAAAAGCAAAAAAATCTGACATCTCCGACTTATTTTGTTTCTGAAATGGTAAACTCTATGCTATTCAGAACCTACCAGAAGGATTTGTAGTTCTTAAGAAATCAATGTGGACGATTAATTTTTCTATTATATTTTATTGCATTTTGGAGACAATGAATCTCTCTTAGAGAACTTGATCAGCACAAATTTTCTTTGCAAAAGGACTAGCTCAAAAGCAGTTATTTGGTACCGAGTTGCGATACGATTTTTAATTCTTTTGCCATCCAGTATCAAATTCAAATTCACTAATTATAATCTGACTCAGATAAGCAATTTTTTCCCAAGTGTTACTAAATACTTTATTTCTCTTTGAGCCTGTACTCGACAACTAAATTTTCCAGAACAATAAAGAAAAAAAACTTTCAAAACTGCGTTTTGTTCTGCGTGCACTGCAGAAGTTCCTCTCTATACCTTTCGACTGCTTAAGCTCAAAGAACGTCTCTACTTTTTTGCGCGCCTGAAAGGAAACATCCGCGAAATTTCGTTTAGCAGCGAAATGCCGGCTGTGCAAACAACATGATGCTCGTGAGAATTTTCTGCAAGTCACCGTTCTTTTCCAAGTAGGCTTAAACAGGGAAAAGCTGAGCGTTTTTGCTGAGTTTTCCAACATTCACGCATCATCACCACAAAAGCCTTTGTAGCATCATTAGATGGAATTCTCATGTTCAAAGCGCTAGTTAAAAGATTTGGAACGCTGGAAAAAGTAAATGAGCTCAAAAATCACAGATGTGTAAAAACGTTTCAGAAGGGGTTTACTCTTCTTCCTATGTTCTACTCTCCATCTATCTTTCTTATACGAAAAAATCGAATTTTAAATTTAACTTCAAAGAGCACCAGTGGAAGAATGAAATAAAGGTAATTGTGAGAAATAAAGGGTTATTGTGAGTTGCCGCCCCCCCCCCCATGGGCTGCTAGTTCAACACAATTGTAGATTTATAGGTAAATTTCTCATAAGAGATCGAACGGCTTCTATTTGAGAGAAAATAGAAAGCTTTGCATAATAAATTTTTTTGAAAGTTACGAGGGTCGAAAATTCGAGAGGTCTCAAAGGAAACGATTGGACTGCAGGTGACAGTGCAGGATGAAAGGATAAGAATGTGGCTTGCCAAACCCCTTTCATTTTTGGAAACGTTGCAAATTCTTTTTGAAATTGGTCGACGTAGTTATGAAATCATGAGGGCGAATTGTTCATTTGTAAATGATTGGAATAACTTCAAATTTTTCGAAATTGAACTAGCTTTGTGAAAAGTTTTTTTTTCGAGGCCACAAACTCGCAGAAGACTTGGAATACAAAAATTTTTTGAAAGCAATTATTATCTACATGGCTTACCTTGACCTCTTTTAAAGTTCCATACTCTCTAACCAAATCAAAATTAGAATACATCTTGAGGTTCTGACAAGAGCTGAAAACTGATGCATTATATTTTCTTGCCCGAAAGGAAAAGCAAACCCAAACACTTCCCACACACTCACTGATGCAGTTATGTACCAATGCAGCCAATTACGCTAACATTATGAATTCTATCATTGCTCTGGCGAGTTTTTGACATCCGCCCTTGGCCCCTGTGAAAACACTCCGCGCCAGCTCGTTATACCAGTTTCATTTTCATGCTGCCGTCATAGCAGGGCCAGCGTTGGCTTAATCCGTCTCAAATTTCATCCACTATGCTATAAAAGTGGAGAAGTAATGCTATAGCACGCATAGTGTGGTTCTGTACTGATCACATTTTTAATCCGTTTAGATACTTCACTCATTCGCTCATTTAACCTCTTAGGGAAGGGGGCAAAGAAGTTACGCATTTGCGGCTATGGGCGCTTCGCAGAAGACACTTGCCGAAATTTCCACTGGAGTTTTCCGCTCAAAAAATGTCAGCCCCGCCCACGCCACGCCCCTATTGGAACAGCTTTCCGCATTTATTTCGCGCATATCATGTCTGTCAATTGCAGCTCACGGGCGCGAAGTTCCATTATTCGCTTTCTTTTTTCAACTGCTCAAATAGTATGAGAAAAATTAGATTATCTCAAAAATAGGAATTCTATCTTGAATGAATCAACCAAGTGTGGAGTCATTTTTCATTATAGTTCAAAAATTTTCAATGTGAAGAGACCTGCTCGTTTGGCAAGAGTTGATATTATACAAACATAAGATGTTCAACTCGCAAAAAAGTGGATTTCCACTGCTGAGAATGTAAGCATCTTACAACCTTATGAACTTCCCTCCCCTGTATTTCCTTCTTCTTCTAAAGCTGCCCAACTTCCATTTCAACAAAAACTCTGCAATTTGTTGAATGGATTACAACGTCAGACTGCGGCACACTAGCAAAGTATTCAGCTTTGAAGTACCTGCCTATTTCCCAGCTCTATCCCGATTTCTGCACATTAGGCTAACTCTGAGTTCCACTTTTTCATTTCATGCATTACGTTTACGGCAATCACCAGCTGACAGCAATTATCTGGCCATTCTTCGTTTTATCTCCCAAACCCCGCACAATTCCACTCAACTAAATGTGCACGGATGCTTGCTTTTTGCACTTTGGCGCCATTAGCCCCTCTTCGTCAAGTTCTCTATTGACGATGTGGAAGAGCGGAAAGCGTAAAAATTGAAAATCGCGCAGTACAGATGAGAACCTCGTGATGAAGTCATGCAGTCACGAATGCCTCGTCACATCCTGCCTCGTCTTGGCCGTGTTTGTGATGATGCAAATGGCAATGATCGCTTTCTCGTACAATGGAATGATAGAAGATCGAATCAGCACTTCGGTGGCGAGTTATGCGACGGAGGAGGACAGGTAAGAAAGATTCATTCATTTCCTATTATTCGTCTATCTATTCATTTACATCTACAATCATTCATTCCTAAATTTTAGGTTCATTTTCATTCATTTTACTCACATTTAATTACTTACTTATTTATTCATTCATCCATTCACCCAAATAATTCACTCATTCATTTATTTAAACATTTAGACATTTTCCCTTCATTCGTCCATTCATTATTCACATATCCATCCATTCTCCATTCATCCCATTCATTCATTCATTCATTCATTCATTCCATTCACTTCATTCATTATTCATTCCATCCATTAAATCATTGATTCAGTCATTCATTCAGTCATCATTCATTCATTCATTCATTCCATTTTATTTCATTCAGTATTCATTCTATCCATTCAATCATTCATTCAATCAACATTCATTCATTCATCCATTCATTCATTCCATTCATTCATTCCATTCATTCATTCATCCATTCATTCCATTCATTCATTCTTTCATTTACAGAATCGAAACCCATCGCTTACCCTCTGTGTTGATAATCGGGGTACGCAAAGGCGGTACCCGAGCCCTGCTCGATGCCATGGCTCTTCACCCAAAAATCCGCGCAGTTCGCAAAGAAACTCATTTCTTCGATTTGAACTTCTCCAAAGGGGTCGAATGGTACCGCTCCTTGATGCCTCTCAGTTCTGCTGAACAGGTAACGAATGAAATTTCCAAGCTTCAAGAACCCCTCACAAAAAACCTCTTTTCAGATTGTTGTTGAAAAAACTCCTGGATATTTTACCTCTGCAATCGCACCAAAACGTGTACGAGAATTCAACCCTGCTATGAAAATTATTCTCATTGTTAGGGACCCTACACAGAGAACAATAAGTGATTTCACCCAGGTACGTAAATCCCTTTGTTTCTCAAAACCCTTGTCATTGCAATCTATTCCAGGTCTACTATAATAAGCTTGAGTTGAATAAAACCCTACCAATTTTCGAGAAAGAAGCCTTTCTTCCTAGTAGTGACAAAATTAATGTGGACTATAAACCAGTGCGAAATTCATTATACGATCTACATATGGCGAACTGGTTACGGTATTTTTCAATGGAGCAGATTTTGCTGGTCAACGGCGACGTCTTTCGTGGGAATCCAATAAATGAGGTGAGAATATACACTTTGATAGTGAAGGGGTGGAAGCGTGATGACTGGGATAAGTTCGTGAATCGATAAACAAAATATCCCGATCTCGCAGAACATTACTTGCAGAATATCTCAAACGTTCGTATCCCAATGTCTCCAGCAAGCTTTCAGATTACTAACGCAATGTTCAATGGCACTTTGAAGAAGTAAAGTAGAAAATAGAGAAAAACGTTGAAGACATAGATCTCTTTTGATCGAATAGACTCATCGAATCAGCAACAGTTTTTTTTTTTCGAAAATACTGATATTTTGTGGTAAGTGAGAAGCCCAAGTCGCCTAAGAAAAAGCGGTCCAAAATCGCCATTGAATATATTTTGAAGGTCTAAAATAAAATTCTCGGCAGTTAGTGGGATTTGAGCATGATAGCAATGGCAAGCTATAAAGTCCATCATGTTCTTGCTTAATATTTGACTTAAATTAAAAATGACTGCTAACAATAAGAGGAGGACGGAAAAGCTGCACCAAACGAACTTAGACGTACAAGTTTTTGACGTTTCGTAATGGCCTAGAGAATATAGAAACTTGTCGCATAAACAAGAAACAATAAACCATTCATATTCCCCGTAAAATTTCTTGAGACTACTTTCCAACATTTCTTGGATACATCACAATCTTTTCCAGCCAACAAACTCTTCAAAACGTTCAAGTTTAAACTACTTTTGTTAAATATATCCAGTTCAAACGAATGATCCTAAGCATTAGAAAAGCTGAAATCAGCTTACGGCCTCCCATAGATCCCATAAGTATGTAGTGTGGGGAGACCGTACGAGTTGCAAATATGAAAACTATGTGAAAACTAACTTTGAGTTGAGAAAATTCAGTAAAAGACTAGCCCGGTTTCCTTCTGCTAGTTAATGGTTAGCAGTTTCTGGCAACAATTTCAAAACATTAGACCAAGCGTAAAGATTTGATAAGTTCACTAAAAAATGAATGACATGTCTAATTGTGCCCCAACTGATTGCAAATGAAAAAAGCTTTTCAGCTTCGTCGAGTCGAAACATTCCTAGATCTGCCACACCTGATAACCAGCGATCAGCTAATTTTCAATGAAAGCAAAGGATTCTTTTGTTTTCTACGAACTCCGACATCTCGTGTAAGATGTCTCGGCAGCTCTAAAGGACGCCCACATCGAGAAATTTCCGATGAAATCACTGAAAAATTACGCGCTAATTTCAAAGAGCACAACATGCGATTTTTTGCACTTGTTAATAGAATGTTCGCTTGGTAACTTCCAGCTTTACTTTGCTTTAACAATTTTGTTCAGATGATTTGATTGAGAAATTGGAGATATTATATTGTTACTCAGGTGCATTTCTATCAAATTACGGGTTCTAAAAATTGTGTTTCCTTTGTAGAATATATAAAGATTACTTTAACGTTTTAGTGTAAAACAGTTATTGAAACATACGAAGTTTCTGTGCAACTCACATCCAGTATTTTTTCTCTGAAAAAGGACGCAGAAAGAGATGATGCAGGAAGAGAATGAAGCCGGAAGAACTAATAAATCAGCTATTCCAGAAGAAGGTTTTGTCAGCCAGTTGTCTTTTGACTAATTGTAAATTCTGCTTTTTACGGAAGAAGGCCAATCGCCTCAGCATTGACATCCGAAAGTATAGCAAATGTTCAGGATAAAGTCGTTACTACCTACAATAGCACTTAGGGCCCGCCTCACGCGTCGCGCGGGCTCCGATTTTTGACTAATCGTCTCGGTTTCGAGCAAATGTCATCCATAAACTCTTGAACGCGGTTGTGGATGCTGGATGATGCTGATTCAAACTCCAACTACTGACGTAGTTGCCTATGCGTTCAGCAAATATTTCACACCTTGTCTCCACTGGTCTTCCTTATATATGCTTCGATGTTCTTAGGATCTACGTCAACGTTTTTTATTATTCCCTTATCGCCTTCGCCTTCTTATTATATGACCGCCATATCTAAAAATTGGTCTCTCGATGATACTGCGCAGGGTCCTGCACACGCTAGAGTTGCTTTGGGTATGAACTCATCCCAAACCTATACGGTTCAGAGGAAGCGTCCACACCAAGTCAGAGTTCTTGAGCTTTTGGCAGCGTACGATATTAGTATCCCTATAAGCCAATGCCTGTTGTGGCGCAAAATGTCGCTTCGAAAGCGGGTTGCTCCAAAAAAATAGAGGCAGGAAAACCCCGACAGTCCCGTCCCGAAAAACCCGCAGGCGGCACCGCCGCTTCCAGTAATGCCTGCTCATTCGTCGTAACCCATCCAATTACCGTTCGAAGAATCTGCCCGCGGGTTTTCCGGAACGGGGACTGTCGCGTTTTCCGCGGATTCTCTACTCCATGTTCATGGACATGAGAAGATCCGGAACGACGAATTCGACTGGGTGGACGGCAGCTTTAGACTTGCTTCTCCTTGGCAGCTTTTTCTGCCTGTGCTGTCCTCAGCAGGAACATTTATACCCTTTCTTAGAGTTCTGAATACTGCCAACTACTCTCTGTTTTATGCTGAGTTCGGCCAGCTACTCTCTCTCTCTCTCTCTCTCTCTCTCTCTCTCTCTCTCTCTCTCTCTCTCTAATGTTGACAAGGGAAGGATACCAACTTAGATTCGGCTTTTGAAATGAAATACGTATACTTAGAATCATCTTGGAAAGCTGATTCCAAATATGTGTTTCTTGCTGCTTAGCATCATTCTGAAGAGAGTTATGGTCTCTTTTCTATGCAAAGTTTGCGTGCTTCTAGACCTGCTGATGCTACGGCGTCGACGTCTAGGTGGTTTTGCAATTGTATAATGCTCCCTTTCGAATCGAAGAATTAATCTGATGCTAGTCTAACATCCTAGCGCTTTTTCGAGCAGATTCTTATCTACACGCCGTCTTACGACGTTCAGAATTTTGCTAGTTACTCACAAATGCAAGCCCATAACTCTCTTCGGAATGATGCTAAGCAGCTAGGAATAGCATGATTGGAATCAGCTTTCAAAGCTGATTTCAAATGTATGTTTCACATCTTAAAAGGCGAATCTTAGTTATATCCTTCCCTTGTAAGTTCGTCCTTCATGTCGTTTTCCTGTTGATGGTGCATCCCGACTGATCGAGCCCGTATGCACGTACATCCCCGCGGGGAGGGGATGTGCGCTTAACCATTGAAATGATCCCCGCTGGGGCTCCCCTCCCTTCCCCATGCGAACCCCCGTATGCACAAAGACAATACCGGAGAAGGGATCCCCTGGGAGTAGGGTAAGGGAACCCCCTAATGCAGAAGGGGAGATCGAGCGGGGAAATCATTTTGCTTCCGTTTTTTGTGGTAATTATTCCACTTTTCTCATCTTTTGGTAGCTATTCGCCTCCAGGATGTCATCGGCAGTACTTTAGTCGCTGCGGAATGCCGTCTGCCGTGATTGCGCTCGACGCACCAAAAAAAGTGTTTCCTACGCACGATATATTCCTGCTGTTTTCATGGATGTTGCTCACTTTCGCTAATGCTGCCCATTTCAGCGTAAAAGTGTTCAACATTAGAAGTCATGATGTCTCTGCAGTGAATTTGTAGAAGATGTTATGCTGCCGAAAAAGGGGGGGAGGGTGCCGCGGACATTCAAACCAGCATTTCCACACATAACAGAAGCTGCAAATCCTGCCAGCTCTTCATGGAGGCTGTAGCTATTAGCGACATACCGTCCATTCCCCCAAGGATATGATCCCCAGCGGCCATCCCTGCTATGCACGAGGGGAACGCTGGGGAGGGGATCACTCCTCTGGGGATCTCTACTCAAAAATAAGCAAATCTGCTACTTTCTAGATTTTTTCAAGACAGCTTATGTTGAAATAACAAGATAAAGGCAACATGTCATGAAATTTGAAAGTTACAATGAGTATAATTAGCATATATAGCTAAAATTATCATTTCAGATAAAAAATGCGCCATTTTTGTGAATGGTCGAAAATCCTACAAATAATCCATATTGGCAGCCATTATACGCTCGGGTTTCTTCACAAGAAGCGAATATAGAAGAGGGAGATAAGATTGCAAGCTGCAGGTCGCCGAGAGAAGAACCAGCTTTCAAAAAAAAATCCTTTCATTAAATGGGACGAAAGGCTCTGTAACATCTGATTGAAACCAGAGTATTCTCTTTCTGGCATGATCTACACTATCGAACCCCTACTCCGTTACAGGGGATGTCGATCCCCTCCCCCGCATCGTTGAGTTACATTCGTGCATACGGGGATCGAGTGGGGAGGGGAAAGGGATCCCCTCCCCTACGCGAACCCCGTATGCACTGGGGTTCGTTGGATCAATGCCTCGGAAACCATTCATATCATCCTCGTTGAGGTGCAGGGGAGGGGAGATTCAAGGGAGGGGATCGTTCCCCTGGGGATCCAGTTCCCCTCCCCTCCCCAGCGGGGATGTAAGTGCATACGGGCCTAAGATGAGGTTTCCTCCGCCGATACATCCGAGTTCAGGTGTTCTTCACAAACTGCGGCTTCTTCCGATTGATCCTGAGCCCTATGCTAGTCCCGCTGTCGTTCAACTCGTTTCCTTCGCTAGTGGACTCCGAGAAGAGATATCGTGCATCAACCCGCATCCCCTTCATTTCGCATAGAGCGACTGCATGCACCATTTCAACCCCCCGGTGGACAGCTTTGAAGACAGCCGTCTTTCCTTACTTTTTATGAATGCGGAGACGATTGTCGAACCGCTGAATTGTAGCGGTGCATCCTTTGTTGCAGTCCGCTACGGTCCTTATAAAAATTAGTTATGTTTCCACCGTTCAAAGCAATTAAAGTAAAGTTAGCCGTAAAGGCATTTTCGTGATTGACGAAGGTGTGGAGCACAGGTAGAGTTTTCGACGGTCCGCGACCCTTGAGACAGTCTGTTGTGATAAATAGAAATCCGGTTTGCTCAGACGTGCGCTTCATTCAACATCCACGAATTACGCGACATGACGGTCTTTGTAAACAACTTGTAAAGCACACTTAGCAAGCTGATCGCTTGGTAATTGTTGGTTACTCCTCCGTCTTTCTTGTGTTAAAAATCGTGCTCCTTCCCTGTCTAAATATACTTTCTTTTTTCAGTTGTCTGTCATACGAGTTGTTAGCCACGTGCAGCTTTTGAATGTTTCTCAATAGGTCGGCAGTGATCCGTCTGGAAGAGGTGTTTCTGGTTTCATGCACTCGGAACACTTTTAAATGACGGGTACCTTGAGGCTGTCCTCCCATGGATGGTAGGTTCCGGTACGGGCGTCGGCTATAAAGAACTCGTTGTGGAAGTCCCTTGTTGTCACTTCCATTTCGCGCCAGGGTGGTAGTTTGTGTTCGGTAGTTTTTTGCAATATCTTCAGGTTTTTTGCTTCCAGTGATTTTAGCAATATCGTTTCAGATTCTTTCGTACAGCCTTTCCACAGATGTTGTTGAATAGATCTTGCTTCACTTGCAGTGTACCTAAATGCGCGCGCAGGCTCCTCTTCTCAAAGAACCTTCTTAACGCTGCTAGCTAGACTCTTAGACTTACCTTGTATGATAAGAACTGCTTGCTTACTAGGAAATGCTCAGAACTTGACCCAACCATTTCAAACAAGCTGTATATCATCGAACTCGACTCTCGACTTAGAATGCCGATTTCAGAAATATGTTTATTGCCTGCCAAGCGACTATCTGCTTAGCACAGCTAAGTAGTCTCTCAAACAACTCAAGATCGCTTGTTGGATAATCGTTTTCTTCCCAGTCGCATCTGCAAAGTTGTCATGCACGGCATCTCTTCTAGATTCACGCGGTGACAAAATCTTCTTTCCATTATACGACTGAAGCGGATCCTCGCATGAAGTAAACGGTAGCCGAATTTGTGCAGAATGAAAAAAATCACTTCGACGATGAACGAACTCCATTTCTTACTGACATAAATGTGATCGATTCCTGCATGCGTGTGCCACTGGCTAACTCCTACGTCCGACCGCCAATTTTCTTTTTACTGAAATTGACGAGTCGATCTTCATTCTTGGTTCAACTTTCCAGACGGCTTCTTGATTCATCTAAGCGGATTTGTATCTATCCTATCTTCGCTGAAAATCGGATAAACTCATAGAACATCAGTCTTGTAGATGGCGTCTTCGACCTTCTCCAGAATTGTCCGCTTTCATCTGCTGCTTTGTATTATAGGTAAGTGACATTTAATGATGCTAATCCTCTTCTGACGTAAAGCGGCAATGGTGCAAGTGATTCATTGATCGTGATAGAAGGACACCTTGAAAATCGCAGAGGTGATTAACGGATGGGTGTATGACAAAATGCATATCACCGACGCTGAAACATCCCCCATGAATATGGATATTCCATGCCTCCTTTTCAATGAAGTCGAG